CATGCTTTCTGTTCTCTTGGATCGACGACAGAGGCAGAGTGCCGAGGCAGAGTGCCAGTCGAACCTCTTCGGTGTTGCCTTACCTAAGGAGTAAACCCCTGCCCCACCAGGGTTGCTCCCCACACCATTGGCCATGTGTGAGGCGTTCGGTTTGCCTGTGTCACAGCCTTGAGGCCAACCTATCCCAGGGGCAGGGGGTAGATGACAGCCGGGCACATGGGCTAATGCGCCGGCTGGGGCTGTGACCTGGTGACATCGAAGCAGTCATGCAAGTCACCGGAAGCAATACCGGACAAAGAAGGGAGGCCGTTCTTGGGACATGGCTGTGTTGTTGAGCTGGTGTGTTCCTCCGTCTCATTCATAGTAGAATGTTGTTTTGTTAGCCAGTTGTTTAAGATTATAGTGAATGTCTTTGTCACACCAACCTTACCAACAAGTCGCGGTGTGTCCAGTTTTGATTCACCAGCCGCGCTTGCATGCCGATGGCCGGGCATGGGGTCGCTTTGGGGGACCGTGGAAGACGGAACCGAACGAGGACTTGGGGCCAACCACCAGAGCGGACACCTGGTGATGACAGCCAGACACATGGGCTAACGTGCTGGCTGGGTCCGAGCTCGGCACCCGAGTGTCCCCCTTTGCAACATGGGAGGCCAAATATCGAGCAGAAGTACAGTAATTAGAGTGTCAGTCGAACCTCCTCAAGGTTGCCTTACCTAGCTGGATTTTCTGCGACCTCGGATCGTGTTGTCCGGGCCAGACTTCCAGGTTCCGAACAAAGAAGGGACGCCGTCCGTTCTTGGGACATGGTTGTGTTATTGAGCAGAGAACCTTGCTTGGCTTGCTGTTCGGTTGTGTTTGTCGAAGGCAGAGTGCCAACATGTTCAGAATGGGGTTTGGTGTGTGTTGCTCTACCAAGCGGCAGCTGCATGCCCGCCAATTTGGCAGCTACCGACACACTGTTGGCCGGGTGTGGAGCCAGGGAAAGGGCCACAGGGTCGTGCAGTCTAGGGGGGGGTTGGGGCCAACGGTCGGCGGGCATCCGACCATGACATCTGGACACATGCGCTAACGTGCCAGGTGGCCCCTCCCGAAAATGACGAAGCCCGGGTGACCCGGACTCTTCCATGGGAGGCCGAAGAATGGTGTTGCTTGCGCATGGTGTTGAAGTCCAAGTTGTACTTGTATCTCAACTATTTATTGAAGTGAACGAATCGCTCTTTGACTTGCCAGCTCAGGTGTGCCTGAGTCCAGCTGTGACGAGTGGCAGCTTCGAACCAATCGGTTGTACCAGGAGAGAGCTATCACTGCTATGCAGCACTGTCGACAAATCAACTTCATCGCCGATGGGTCTACTCACAGCACCAGCGATTGTCTTGTGACAGTGGCTTGGGCGAATGAGATTTCTGCTGCAGTGTTTGCACCCATGCAAGTGATGAAGACTGGACAAGTTTCTCCACAAGACCGGTTTGACGACGACCTGCTTCTTCACATATCAAAGCGAAAGAAGCTGGAAAGGATTGCTGCATTCAGGCAGCTTCAAGCGATCAGTCACCAAATCTGGATTTTGCACAGAGGGCGAATGGATTTGGGCTCTTTCAAGATCGCCCCCTCTCTTGGGCAGAGGCCTGTGAAAAGATATGAAAGCAGGGTGGTTTTCCAAGTTGGAAAAGAAGACAATGACATTGACCGCTGTTTTCAGTGGTTGAGGGACAATCCGGATCCGGCTGAAGGCAGAGTGCCAGAAGGCAGAGTGCCAGAAGGCAGAGTGCCACCAGCTTTTCCTCATGTCTCCTTTCTGAAGACAATGTCTGAGGATGGAGAGATCACAAATGTGCTCCCCGTCTTGCCAGAGTCAGAGAAGTGGTGGCTGAACATTCCACTGCTGGTCTTGGGCCTTGACCAGGGCAGCATCGGACTTGCTGGCATGGCCTATGCTATGCGTGAAAACATGATTCATGTGAAATGTGACAAGATTCACAGGGCCATTCGAGATTTCAAAAACAGCATGTCGAGATGCCTCAAAGGACTCTTCCTGAAAGCACAACTTCACTCCTCTTACATCTTTGCCCTGAATTATAAACCCTTTGGAAGTGGTGGTTTCTACCAGCAGAAGAAGGAAATGCTGGCGAGTTTTGTTTCCTGCACATCACCGAGCAGAAGCTTGTTGTGGGACGCTTTTCGAGATAAGATTGCCTATGACTTAGACAGGCAGCTATCCGGTGACGAGCATGAGATTGAACATATGCTTGCAAATGTCGAATCCTTCATGAAGAAGGGCAGCTTGGTGAAATCCTCCAGATGGTTCAGCTGGAACCAGCTATGTTGTGAGCAACTTCATGAGTTTCATGTCCTCAAAATGCTGCTGGCTGATCATTTCGGTGAAGATCAATCTTTCAGCCCTTGCTCAAGGGAAAGACTCAGCCTGTATTCCAACTCGGCGAATACACAATCGGGCAAGGAGCTCTTCGAAGGCAGAGTGCCAGAGTCCGAAGGCAGAGTGCCGGACTCTGACAATGGTGAGAGGCAGGAAGATGCACTGGGTGATTTGCAAAAGCTGTCACAGGCTGGTCGTGCCACTGATCCACGGAAAGAACTCAGCTTGTTGAAAGCCAGCATGGGGGGCTTCAAGTTGGCATACTATCTCATGACAGAAGACCTTTTCGATCACTCCAAGATATTGTACAAAGTGACCGAACCGTTGTGGACATGGTATGGGAAACAAGTAAAAAACGTTAAATCGCCGCAGGATGGTCGAGGTTATGCCGAGTTGATGACAGTGAATGATGCCTGGAAAGCAGACAAACATTTGTTGCAGATTGTCTCCAACCTGCAGAAGACCGAGTTGTGGAAGGAGCATCTGGATACTGATTTACACGAGCCCGCAGAAAAAATCATGATGTTGAGCTTGCATTTGCTGATGAACAGGGTCTGGACTTGCAGTCTTTTTTCACTTCCACCAGATGCCTATGCGGGATTGCTGTCACCTGATGCAGAAATTCGGACGATCACGGCTTTGAAGGCAAAGGGCCATCACACATCACTCTTGAGGTTGGAGTCGACATTGGCACGGTCCACTCCAAGTGTTCATGCCCGGCAACTCTTCACAGACCTGCAAGTTGGAATCAGCCATCCTTCGAGACTTTTTCTGGACACATTGGAGGCACAGGGATATGAAGTGGCGCCTCCGGGGTCAGAAGACATTGTCGTGGATGATGTTGACACAGAGCAGGACGGGGAGATGGAGGATTCTGTGCCTGAAGAAGCAGATGACGGTGCCGGAGTTGGTGACATTTTGTTAGACGGGCAAGAGGGCAGAGTGCCAGCTCAAAGGACTGTAACAATATCGGTACCAGCATGCCCTGCAACCCACCTGCTGAGTGTTCTGGTGCAGACGCTGCCAGACAACAAGATTGTGGAAGATGTGCACAACAAGATTCGTAATGATTCTTTGTTGAACAAAACCCGCAAGCAAACATACTCCACGATTCAAACTGTGATCGAGAATTCAAACGTCTTTGAAAGCCGTTCAATCAGGCATCCGGCAAAAGTCAAACGGGAATATTTTGAAAGGGAGTTTTGGAATGTGGACAGGAAGCGCCAAAAGTTGTGCTTCAGAGGATGTGTCCACAAGCTGCCGTCACAGTATACCGAGATTGTCGGCGACAAGACATGGAACACCCTGTCAGAAGAGACACTCGAACGAGCATCAGCTGCGTGGTCATGGCTAATTCACTACAATGATGCAAGACTGGCATCTCAGCATGTTCCCTTGCGTGCTGGGAAGTTTAGCAGCCTTGCAGCCCCTTTGAAGATCTTGAACCATGTCTTGGATTTGACATGCTATCTCTCTCTTGGGGCAAAAACCTGGGCTGCTCTCATGTGGCCAGTGGTCCAGCATGAGGACCAGTCGACAGGAGAGATATATTTTGTTTTGAAGGCAGAGTGCCCGGATGGTTCCAGCGTCAAGGCCTGCTGGATTCATTTGTATGAGCCCCAGTATTGGGAAGTCATCGAAACAGAGGCAGTCTTCTGGAATGGCTTCATTTGCCTCCGTCGTTGTGCTACAAGCTCAGTGTCACTTCTATCCTATATGTTGCAGCATCCCAAGTGACATGTTTTCATTTAGGATTCTGTCAACTGTCGACCCATACAGTAAATAGTACAATTGCTTAGGATTTTGGTATCTGGAGGTGTGGTGGGAGTACAGTATGCCAAGTATGATTTGGTATGTGATTTTCCGTACCTCTGCTGGAAGCTTTGGTAGTCTCTAGTTTTGTTGCCGCCATTGTGAACCATGCTGAATGAACGGATTGTGCAGGCGCTTTGTTCAAGCCAAAAGTTTTCATGGTAGCGGAGCACTGGACGTGTCTCTGAGACCGTGAGTGCTCTAGGTAGAGTAGCAGATCCCTGCGCCGCCATATTCTGTGCGCCTGTGAGGTGCGCAATCTTGCAATAAACAATTCCTTGTGTGAGCACCCAGACTGAACGTTTCCGACTTGCTGATTGTGAAGATTGGAACGAGCCAGAGAAACTTCGGGAGCTTAGGGATTGTGTGCTTGAGTGGTTCGTAGAGCTGCAGACAACCAAGCCCATTACCCCTTCGCTTAGCCACCAAAGTTTCTGCAAGCGGCAGCGCGACGCACAGGACCGTCACAGGTCACAGCTCGCTGAGTTGGATTCAGCGTCTGCCATTGTTTCTTACGGGTGCAAGCTTTTGGATCGGGAACCTGATTTATTGCAAGTGTTTGTTTGGTGTGCAGTAACGATTTTAGGGGAGGCCAAGGCTTCTTCTACCGCCGGATCTGCAGGGCGCAAGGAGACCGTTGTGCTTCAGGGTGACGAGGTGAGATCAGCCACGTGTGCTGCTGAATCTGCTCCTGTCTTCAAGAAGCTTAGGCGTTCTAGAGAAGTGATTGATCTTGATTGAGGATTTTCTTGATCAAAATTATCTTGCGTGCCAGTGAAACTCTGCCTTGATTTTGAGCCCAATTTTCGTAACAATGGATCCTTCGCAGATTCCTGTGTCTGACAGCCCACTTGCTGGGAGCCCGTCCGCGGCCGGTGGACCGACTGTCCCGGATCAGGCGACTGTCATGATGGAGATGTTGCAAGCCGCTACTCAGGCAGCTCAGGCAGCAGCGGTGAGTGCGCAATCTGTTGCGCAGCTGGTTTCTCGCACCGAAGCTTCTTCAGAGACGAGTGGAGCCACAGGTGGAGGCGGCTTTCAAGCGTACAAGCTTTTGAAGCACCCTGACCCTTTTGGATCAGAGAACACTGACAATGATGCGGTTCAGTGGGGCGCCTGGCTTCACGGTTTCCGTACTTGGCTTAGTGTAGTGAACCCTGCTTATGAGCCAGAATTGCTTGAAGTGGAATCCCGTTGCAGCGAGCCTTGCATTTCGATGGATGTTTTGCCTGACCCGACCAAATCCCGAAGCAGACAATTGTATGGCATTTTGTCGACTTTGCTGAAGGGCCGACCGTTGCAGGTCTTGCGGCTGACTCAGAATCAGCATGGTTATGAGGTCATGCGTGTTTTGCATCAGACCTTTCAGCCTCGGACCAGAAGCCGCGCGATGGCCATCATCACGGCCATCATGGCCACTCCGGCCTTCAACAAGCAGTCTACGATTCGCGAACAGGTTCATGCCTTTGAGCGGGCGTGCTCAGAGTACTTGAAAGCATCGGGAAAGGAAGTTAGTGAGGACGTGAAGTTTTCCATCCTTCTGCGTTCATTGCCCAAGTACCTTCGTGACCATATCAATCTTTCTCTTACCGAAGAGACGACATACGCTCAAGTTCGTGAGCAGATCTTGCAGTTTGAAAATGTCACTCAAAGTTGGAATCCTACCCGTGTCCAGCAACAGTTGCTCATGCCCAGCCTGACTGCTTCAGGTAGCCAGCCTACCGACATGGATGTTGATGCTGAGGGCGTCATCGCGCAGTTGAAAGGCAAAGGCAAGCTTAAGGGCAAAGGTAAGGATAAAGGGAAGGATAAAGGTCCCAAGGGAGGTAAGAAGGGTGATAAAGGCAAGGATGCAGGCAAGCACGGCAAAGGCAAGAATGATAAAGGCAAGGGCAAAGGCGGTGGCAATGTGGCTGTCGCTGATGCTAACACTGTTTGTCATTACTGCCAGAAGAGGGGTCACTTTCAGCGAGATTGCAGGAAGATGAGGGCAGATCAGTCGGCGCGCGATCGTGCGCGTGTACAGCAGGTGGAGGACTCTCATCCACCAGCCAATGCCTCTGCCGATGCCTCTCCTGCGACTGCGGCTAGTGCCAACTCTCCTGCAAAGTCCGTCAAGAGCGTTCGGATTGACCTGTCCGGTGACTATGCCGGAGTCCTGAGTGGTGCGCCTTCGATTCGCGCAGTGTCGTACCAAAGCAGTCCGGTATCATCCAATGCAGTGCCGTACCCAAGCAGTCCGATATCATCCAGTGCAGTGCCGTACCCAAGCAGTCCGGTATCATCCAGTGCAGTGTCCATCCCGAGCCCACAGGATTCGTGTCCCGAGTTGTGCTGTGCGGTATACAGCATGAGTGCCAGCGATCACGATGGCAGATGGACGTTGGTCCCAGGTCCAGAGCCGGATCCAGAGGTTCATGTGCCCCTTGATGGTCGTGTGTGGGCAGTCAACAGCTCCTTTAGCAGTGACGGTGATGTTGTGGTGTGCATTGACACTGCAGCTGATGAGTCGTGCATTCCGTACTCGTACTTTCAGGTTGGAAGCAAAAGTGCACAAGGTCCCAGAGGGCTAGTTGATGCATCCGGGAACGCGATGCAAACTCGCGGTGTGCGACACGCCTCTTTGCAGGTTGGTGATGTGGAGATAGTTGATAGATGGGTTGTGACCGGGGTTAGTCAGCCTATCTTGGCTACAGGCAAACTCCTCCGCCGGGGGTGGAAGATCATAGGTCACGATAGCCCAGGTGGTCTCGCACTTGCCAGTCCCGATGAGAGTGCATGCATCCCTTTGGACTTCCAGCACAATACGCTCGTGTGCCGAGGTGCTGTGCGTGCCATCAGCGATCCCCTTGAAGGGCCAGGTGTTGTGCAAGTTTCTGGTTTGCTTGACAGGTTGCTGACCGAGCATGATTACTTGTCTGAGATCGCTCCTTCGGTATTTGCGGCAAAGCTTGTGTCTGACCGGCATATTGATTTGGGGTTGTACGCGCCTCATGAAGGTTTGGCTTACCGCACTACCTTGCTGCGCCAGGGTGCTGACTGGGTGCTGTTAGAGCTGAGTGAGTCTTTAGCTTCGCTGGAGACGCCTAACGAGTTGCTTCATCCTTCTGGAGAGCAATTTGATCTGATCGTGTTTGGTCATCGTGAACAGCTAGGTCCTGAGGAACTTGGATTCACTATGCAAGGAGAGCCTGGCGGCGTTGGCAGCATGGAACCTTCACCCTCAGGGAGCCGCCCTGATGATGCGTTGGCTGAGGTTGCCAGCCCAAGTGAGCCCGATGAGTCAAGTGCGAATCCAGCAGAGTCCGCTCAGGCCGATGCCGTTATGATGGAAGCTCTCGCAGATGAGCCGTCGGCATTGCCCGAAAGCATCACCATCAACGAGGTCATTTTGACACCGACGACCACGCTCTCTACCTTGAGGGCTGCGTGTACTTCTTTGGGTGTTGGCAAAAGTGGGTCGCGGGCTACTGTGTTTCGGCGGCTCGCGGATAGACTGAAGACCCTTGAGCTTGCTGCCGCTGCCCGCGCAGCTGAAGGAGGCAGTGGATTGCCTGTTGCTCAGGGTGTCGTCCCCAAGCAACCAATCGAACCTACGCCAGAGCAGCGCAGAGCTCACGAGGCCACGCATTGCCCGTATGAAAGTTGGTGCGAACACTGCGTGGCGTTCAGGGGGCGTGATGCTGGGCATGCTGAGGTGAAAGGCTCCGAGGATCGTATGCCTTGCATAAGTTTCGACTATGGGTTTTCCGCTCGTGCCGAGGGTGAACCGAAGACCACAGCCCTTTTTGTTCACGATGCTCACACTGGTTGGCGCGAATGCTTCCCGGTCCCTGCCAAAGGAGGTGTTGTCAACGGCATGAATGTTCTAGTGTATCTAGCTTCCGAGTTGTGCCGCTTGATATCCTTTCTTGGGTACAGCCAAGTGATCATCAGGTCCGATGCTGAGCCCACGTGTTTGGCATTGCAAAACGAAGTGAAGAAGCTGCGACTTAGCTTGGGGCTGAGGACCGTATGTCAGCAGGTTCCGGAAGGATCGCACCAAAGCAATGGAGGTGCAGAAATGTGTGTTCATACGGTTCGTCAAGTTGCCGGGTCAATCTTGTCGTTCTACGAAAAGAAGACAGGTCAAAAGGTAGCCGGCAGCCACCCACTGCACAGCTGGGCACTAAGGCATGCGGCCTTTATCCTGAACCGCTTTCAGGTACGGTCCGGAGGCCTAACGGCCTTCGAGTCTGCCCTTGGAAGGCCGTACAAAGGGGCCATGATTCCATATGGAGAGACGGTTATGCTTTTAGTTCCTCAAGGAGCAAAGGGGAAGCCCAGATTCGTGCAAGGACAAGTCCTTGGCAAGGTGATGTCGAGTGATCAATGGATTGGGTGCACGTCCTCGGGACGATTAGTGTTGGCGCGCACCGCGCGACGCATGCCGGCCGAGTTTCCCCCGCAGGACCCTAAGTTGCTTAAGGATCATCCTTGGAAGCACCCAGGCTTCATCGCTGGATCGGCAGGGCGTGTCCGTGTGCAGAGAGAGCCCAAGGTTGAGTTGCCATCAGGCCTTTCGCCACTCCTCGCTGGCGGGGCCCAGGAACAGCTCGAGGCTGGCGGGGGAGAATTGATCGAAGAAGGCCGACAAACTGTGCCTGGTGACGTGACCTCACTTGATTACTCTCCCAGTCCAGTGCCTTCTGTTGCCCCCGGAGCCGCTGCTCCTGCAACTGCTGATTCTGATGCTTTGAGCAGTGATGCCGAATCGACTTCTTCAGCTACGACGCCCGCTGAGTCTGCTGCGCCTGCTGTGCCCGCAGAACAGCCAGCGCCTATGGATTTGTCAGAAAGAGAGTCTCGTGATCATCCTGCTGCAGAGGACGACGATGACCGTGCCAAGCGTGCTCGCATCGCTGAGGTTTCTTTCGAGCACGGTGAGGAAGATCCTGTGGAGTTTACGGCCGAAGACTGCGAACAAATGTTTGATCACGATGATAGTATCGATGATCGATCTGACGAGGCGCTTCCTTCGAGTGTGCCTCTGGAGCTGTACCGTCCGTTCAGTCCCGACGAGCCTGACTTGCCTCAGTCAGAGATGTACGACCTAGATGCTATGGCAGATCAGCATGAGATTTCACGGCTGTTAGGCATGAAGGTTTTGAAGGAAGGCAGCCCGCTGAGCAGTGCCGCCAAGGTGTTGTCCACGCGCTTCGTCCGAACATGGCGTGTGAAGCCACATCCCGTGACAGGGCAACCTTCGTACCTGAGGAGGAGCCGCCTGGTGGCGCGGGAGTTCGCGCGTGATGACCCTTCGAGATCAGGGTTGTATAGCCCGGCTAGTCAGCAGTTACTCACGAGATTGTTGCCAGCTCTTTGGGGTTCGCGTGCCGATCATGTGATGTTCTCCTTAGATGTTGCGGATGCCTACTTGTGCGTCGACCAGCCTTGCGAAATGTGGGTATCCCTGCACGGCGGACAATACCAATTGCTAAAGCTCCTTCCGGGGCAGCGAGAAGGGTCTGCTCGGTGGTATGACATGTTTTCTGCTGCACTCGTCGAGGCCGGAGCCACGGCTTGGCCTGCATGCCCAGCCCTGTTTCGCTTGGAGGACGGTCAGGGCGCAGGTTTGACACATGTAGACGATTTACTTGGTGAAGGGTTTTTGGCAGCACTTCAGAAACTTACGGGGTTTCTTCAGACCAAGTTTTCGTGCAGTGTGCAGTTTCTTGTAAAGGCAGGTGACAGTATTAGTTTCTTGAAGCGGGAACATGTGATGACGTCTGATCGGATGCTGACCATCCGGAGCCATCCGAAACACCTTGAGCGGCTCATGGAAGTCACTGGAGTCCGCCATGGGTGTACTGGCAAGAAGACGCCTCTGCCTTTGCAAGTGCCTGACTTGGTTGAGTCGCCGAGTTTAAGTGCTGAGCAGTCTGCAAAGTACAAAACAGCTGTTGGAATCCTTCTGTATGTGCAGGCCGAAATCCCTCATTGCCAGTTTGCCATAAAGACGTTGAGCCAACATCTTGGAAATCCGACCGAGGCTTGTTGGTCGATGTTAAAGCACCTAGTGCGCCACATGACAAGCACGGCTGACTGGGCATTGTCGATGCAGCGTGTTGAGAAGGGCATTGGTGTGCGTGCCCAGTGCCCCGGGCGCGACATCGTGGAGTGTTACACCGATGCGGATTGGGCCGGCTGTCGGACCAGCCGGAAATCCACAAGCGCCATGGCCTTGTTCGTGAACTCCTTGTTCCTGATGAGCGCCAGTCGGTCTCAAAAAGCCCTAGCTTTGAGCTCGTGTGAATCCGAATACACTGCCATGGTCGGAGGAGCTGCAGACATGTTGTATGTTGGTGCCGCGCTGGAGTTCTTGTCAGGAGAGCAGCCTTCGTTGCATTTGTTTTGTGACTCTTCGAGTGCCCGCCAGTTGGCAGCTCGCAAGGGTTGCGGCAAGATCAGGCATTTGCAGTTGAAGCTACTTTGGCTTCAAGACAAGCTTGCAGCTGCTGCGTTTCAGTTGCATCCGGTGCCTACCAAGGATAACCTGTCCGACCTGATGACAAAGTCGTTGCGTGCCGAGCGTGTTGCATACTTGCTCTTCCACTTTGGCATGGTTGACACCAAGCATGGGAATGATCTGATCGGCGCTGATCAAGTGCGCTCAGATGATGATCGACAGGCTTTGAAGATTGCAATTCGTGCAGTCCGGCAGGCGAGCCGAGATCCCCAGCAAATGGCGAACGTTTTGCGTGTGTTGTCGTTGGTTGCGATGATTGATTCCACCAGCGCCTTGAGCTTGGCTGCGCCAGAGGAGCCAACGGTGACAGCAGCCACATGGGGAATCGTTGCCTTGATTGTCGGTTGCGTCTTCCTTGGAGTGCCGAGTGCACCAGTGTCGATTGCCTGCTTGATGACGCTGTTGACCTTGACCTTGTGTGGATGCGACCTCTCTGACGAGGACCAGCAAGGGTTTAGGCTAGGATGGGTTATTAGCGTAGAGGTTGATTGGTGTAGCCAAGGTTTCCTGCCGGGGTTTATCCTTAGTGCCGCAATAGGGTTGTTAGGTCTAGTTGCCACTTTGGTTTTCTTGCGTGCAAACGGCGCCAGTGCCGAAGCCTTACCATCTTGCTTGAATGAGAATGGTGCCGAGCCGGATCACACAGGTCCGAGTGCAGATCTTGTGCCGCAGGGCGTGTCGTGCCCCAGCACCCAACTTGATGATGCAGGCATTTCGAGCCAGGATGTGTGTGGAGCTGCAGCTGATACCTTGACCTCAGATGATCATGAAGCTGACGTCGTGCCTGATGCTGTTCTTGGGGAGCCTGAACCGAGTGAAAGCGCAGTCGAGTGGCTTTCATATCAGGAGTGGCTGGATAGCCTTGACCCTCGAGAGTACAGGTACATCTTCAACATTGATTCCGAGCCGGAAGATGAGTTGCCAAGCTTCTTGAGTCTGTATGGTCCTGACGTTCAGAACTATGAGAACGAACATGGCACCGCGCGAGGTTCTGATGAGCCACCTGATGCACATGCAGCCGGCAGTGCTGCTGAGCCCCCTGTTGTCAATGATGAGCCGTATGTGTACACCACGAGACGTGGCCGTAAGTTGCACAGAGCACCAACGTGTGCCACATTGTACAACTCTCGAGCCATCGAGACACTGCCATTGTCTGTGGCGCAGCAGCGCTACCCTTGGAGGGCATTTTGCAGTATCTGCCAGGGCTGATCGTTGCTTCTCCAACTCGCTTGTGCAGCTGATCATGTTTGATCAGTGGTTGGATCAATCCGATGATGATTTACCCGCCTCTTTTCGTAAATCCGAAGTGGTATCAATGCAGACGTGCCGCATCACACCAACTGTGTGTTCAGGCGCTTTCTTGCGTGAACCAAGATCCGCTAGGGATCGCAATACTTGAATTGGTCATCGTACAGCCTTGACCTTTGCAACAGCGTGTTTAACCGACTTGAGCTGCTGGCTACTTATGGTTGCGAGACATCTGATCAACGCCGATCAGGATAGTCAGACTTGCAGTGCAACACCTTGTCAAGACCAGCATGCTGCTGGCGAGCTTCCGTGGAGTAGGTCAGTTAGCTTGAAGTTTCACTTTCGGCATCTCAAAATGAGATGTTCTCGAGTGCCCTGGACTGGGGTTCGTCCCCGCACGGCAGACCGAAAGACAGGACAGAGTGCGCAGTCCGGTTCAGCGTGGCAGTGGCGGCATTTATGTATAGTGTCTTCGTCGCGTCTCAGATTCAATCAGAAGCATCCCGAAACTTTGCGAAATCCTTTGAAGTGCAGTCAAGGTGTGCAGGCTTGGAGCTGCATACACAATGATGCACTTGGCGGGGTGCTTAGGATTTTGGTATCTGGAGGTGTGGTGGGAGTACAGTATGCCAAGTATGATTTGGTATGTGATTTTCCGTACCTCTGCTGGAAGCTTTGGTAGTCTCTAGTTTTGTTGCCGCCATTGTGAACCATGCTGAATGAACGGATTGTGCAGGCGCTTTGTTCAAGCCAAAAGTTTTCAACAATAAACTTATATAAGTTTTGCTGTGCTTGTTTTTGCTGACTCGACTGAGGGAAATGTCACAAGCATGTCGGACTCTCGCAGACTGCCAGAATCTCGCCGAGCATGTGATCTCCCAGACTGGAAACGTAGACGAAAAAAAGCGAAAGGAGCTGCAACGAATGCGCCGTCCAAAGCTCATGAGCCTGATCGCTTCTCATCACCTTCCGGAAGATGAGGATTTCATGCGCAAAATTGAGGCTATGTATTCGACAGCCAAAGATTCAACAGAGGATGAGGATGAGGATGACATTATCATGGGGGACTTTGTTGATGAGCTGGTTCTTGACGACCTGCTTGCTGAGGACAAACAGGAATTTAAAATGGTCTCAGACGCAGTCAGAAAACGCAGAATCAAAAGGGTGCATCAAACCTGGCAGGCCATCAAGACGCAGCAAGCAAAGGCCAAGGCAAAGGGCAAGGCCAAAGCAAAGACCAAAGCAAAGGCCAAGCCACAGGCCAAACGGAAAGCCAAGAGAAAGATTTGTCGCCCACGTATGTTGCCCAGGAAGCAACCCGCGCCTCCTGATGAAAGTGGTCAAGAGGGAGCAGAAGGCAGAGTGCCAGCACCTCCTGCTGAGGTGCCGGTGGAGCCGGAGCCTGATAATCACGTGGAGGCCGCGGAAGGCAGAGTGCCAGCCCCTCCTGCTGAGATGCCGGAGGTGCCTGCTGCAATCCCTGTCCCAGAGCCTGATGATCACGTGGAGCCCGAGGAAGGCAGAGTGCCAGCCCCTCCTGCTGAGATGCCGGAGGTGCCTGCAGTGCCTATCCCAGCACTCGAGCCACGGGAGGTTGCAGTCCGTGGCCCCCAACATCAGCGGCGGCCGAACCGTGTTGACTACCAAGGGGTATGGACACCTGTTCAATGCCCGGAGTGTCCCAAGATCGCTGGTGAGATGAAGTACGACCCGAATCCTGGTGGCACTGACAAAGCAAAATGGTTTCTCCGAGTTCGTGTGACAGACGGCGGTCTCTTGGAAAGATTCGGAACATTTGTTATAGCTTCGATGTGGTTGCCTGATCTGCTGTGTGTTGTGTCACATTACATGAACCCATGTGTGTCTGGCATTGAAGGCGAGTGGAGCCACCTCGTACCCTATCACTGGGGACGTGTGGCTTCCAAGATGACAGAAGCGCAGGCCAGACAACACGTCATTGACCATAGGCCCTGTTGTGGCCCGACCAGGAGGCCTGGCAACAACTAGAGGATTCATCCTGCGCTGCAAAGAAAAGTTGTGTGTCTGTCTGTGTGCTTGCATTGATGGCAGCGGGTCCTGCTAGATTGGAATGCGTCCGAGAGACTGTGTGTTTCTGCTTGGGGAAGACGGATTGCGAAAGCATGTTCGCATTTTCACACATGTGGAATTTGTCACGTGCAAGCACATGGACAATCATTTCGAGTGCCACAACCCGGAAGCCGCACAAACTAGCACATGTGGTTTGAAGCCGTGCGTGCTTGTGACTGAACAGTAGCCGTCCAGAGCAATGCATTTCGCCCCGATCGAACGAGGAGAGTGTTTCTTCAGAGGCGAGCTCTCCCCAATCTTGATCAAAACCGCTTGCGAAAAATTGGCCAAAGCGCCTGACCAGTGGAAACCAGCTGAGAGATGGAATGAAGTTTATGACGACGTGCCTTGGGAAATCATGGTTCGCTACCTGCGTTACTGGCCACGTATTGGCTCCCGCATTACAGGAGGCCTCAGGCTTCTTCGACGGTACGAAGGCCCCTTCCCGAAGTGTTATCAGGTGGGTGAAGGAGAAGAACCGCTGGAGTTGCCGCGCGTTTCTCTCGTTTGTGATTTTGTTTATGTTTGGAACGACGAAGATGAACAACAACGGCAGTTTGTCCTTCAGATGAAACACCTCTCACTTGTTGCCATCCGTCTCGGTGGTCCGGGGGAACTTCCTGACCTTGATGCTGGAGCAATACCTTTGACCGACCAGCTTTGTGCAAAGTTGGGGTGGCAATAATTAATGGATCTTGAGGCGGGAAGGCAGAGTGCCAGCAGCTGGGAAGGCAGAGTGCCAGACGTTGTCGCGTCACCCAGCTGTACCCTGCTTCGCCTGCACGTGATTCGCTTGACAGTGTGGTCAACGCAGAAAAGCGCAACATCCAGCAGTTCGTAGCCACTTCACGCGATTTGTGCATCCCTAATACTATCAAACCCTAAAACTATGGCACTCTGCCTTCTAGCCCCAAACCCTAAATACTAAAGACCCTGAAACTCTAACCCTAACCCTTTCATTACCCTCAAACCCTAACACTATGGCACTCTGCCTCCTAACCCCAAACCCTAAATATACTAAAGACCCTGAAACTCTAACCCTAACCCTTTCATTACCCTCAAACCCCTAATACTATGGCACTCTGCCTTCTAACCCCAAACCCTAAATATACTAAAGACCCTGAAACTCTAACCCTAACCCTTTCATTACCCTCAAACCCTAACACTATGGCACTCTGCCTGCTAACCCCAAACCCTAAATACTAAAGACCCTGAAACTCTAACCCTAACCCTTTCATTACCCTCAAACCCCTAATACTATGGCACTCTGCCTTCTAACCCCAAACCCTAAATATACTAAAGACCCTGAAACTCTAACCCTAACCCTTTCATTACCCTCAAACCCCTAATACTATGGCACTCTGCCTTCTAACCCCAAACCCTAAATATAATAAAGACCCTGAAACTCTAACCCTAACCCTTTCATTACCCTCAAACCCCTAATACTATGGCACTCTGCCTTCTAACCCCAAACCCTAAATATAATAAAGACCCTGAAACTCTAACCCTAACCCTTTCATTACCCTCAAACCCTAAATACTATGGCACTCTGCCTTCTAACCCCAAACCCTAAATATAATAAAGACCCTGAAACTCTAACCCTAACCCTTTCATTACCCTCAAACCCCTAATTCTATGGCACTCTGCCTTCTAACCCCAAACCCTAAAGACCCTGAAACTGTAAACCCTGTGCCAGGTCTTCTTCATCCTCGTCTTCTCGGAAAAAACATTAAAAAATGTAGTTTTTTTGTGTGTTTTAAAGTTTTTTAAAAATTTTAAAAGTTGTTTCAAGTCTTTAAAAGTCTTTCAAATTCTTTTTAAAGTTTGTAAAAGCTTTTAAAAGCGTTTAAAAGTCTTTTAAAGTCTTTTTAAAGCTTTTAAATGTATTTTAATGTTTTTAAAAGTCTTTTAAATATTTTAAAAGCCTTTTAAAGTTTTGAAAAGTCTTTTAAAGTTTGCAAAAGTCTTTTAAAAGTTTCTAAAAGTCTTTTAAAGTCTTCTAAAAGTTTTTAGAATGTTTTTTCTTGCATTTGAAAGTTTTTAAAAGTCTGTAAACGTCTTTAAAAGCCAACTCTGTCGAAAAAGCCCTGTGGATCTAAACCTTGTGGTTCTGGTTCGGTGCAAAGGGGCAATGATTCTATGCCGGCAAGGCATCGGGGATTTCTTCGGGATCGCTTGCGGATAGCATCTCGGATTGCCTTGCTGCCAAAGCCACTTCGACGATTAATGCCAGAGCAAACTGCTTGTTGCGTTTTGTGTCCTGGGCAAAAGCAAACATGCCGTTCGTTTTTCCCTTGACTGAGCACGCTGTCTATGCATACTTCGAGGAGAAGAAAACAACTGCAGCGGCAACATCGTTCAGGAGCCTTCTCTCTTCTGTCGCATTCGCACAGCATGTTGTCGGCCTAGAGGGCTGTGACAAAGTCTGCACTTCGGGTCGCGTCCGCGGCCTCGCGTCGAAGCTTTACATGCAGAAGAGAAAGCTCAAGCAACGGAATCCTTTGAGGGTCATCGATGTCATTCTTCTTGAAAGGATTTGTTGCAAACTTGAAGACAGGTCCTTGCAAGACCGCATCGCTGCAGGCTTCTTCCTTTTCCTGCTCTATGCAAGGGCTAGGTACAGTGACGGGCAGAATGTGGCATCGATTTCGGACTCGCCAAACTACTTAGAGTGCAATGTGGGCAGGTCTAAGACGAGTTTCACTTTGGAACGTAAGACCAGGTATTTGCCTATGGCTGGCAGGAAGGTGGGTGTCAAGTGTGCCTGGGCCGATGCCTGGCTCGAGGCTTTGGAAGAGGCAGGTCTGACAATCAGGCCGAACGCCCCGTTGCTCCCTTGCCCTTCGTCGACCGGTTCGTGGAAGATGATTCCG